CCTCCTGCACCTTCCGCGGGGTCGGCAGCGCACGTGGGGGAAATGGGTGGCCGAGATCCGCGAGCCACATCGCGGGGCCCGGCTCTGGCGTCGGCACCTTCAACACCGCCCTCGAGGCCGCCCGGGCCTATGATGAGGCCGCCCGTGTCCTCTACGGCGACTGCGCCCGCCTATCTCTCCACTCACGAGCGCTCGTCGTCAAACCAGACGCCTCCACCACCAAAGGATGATTAATGAGGGTATTTGAACGAGCATAGATGACAAGTAAGAGGGAGAAGATGGGATGAAGCCTAAAGGGGGGTGGTGACGTGGGCAGGGGGACGGGGGTACACGAGTGAGGCGAGGAGCTAGGTGGCCGCGAGAGGGAATGAATATGTGTCAGTGTCGAGGTGGGGAGGGGCGAGAGATGATTTCAAAAGCTGAGCTCAGCTGGCGGTTTGAGAGTTTTTGGATTTATCCTGAGGGGTTTTTTGCTGGGAGAACACATCCTGTAACACGAAGTTCAGAGGTCGCTTGGCAAATTAAGTGCTAAAAAAAACAGTTTTGGTTGGAACAGGTCTGGTTCAATAACTCAGTCTTAGTTTGACAAATAAAATCGTCAGGCTATTAAGCTACTCGCTCAATTTTACCTTGGTCTGAAATAGAACTGGATAAGTCTGGTCCACGAACGTACTAGCGGAAAAGGGAAGTATATTGTAATTATCAAGTTTGCAAACAATAGGTGCACCTCCAATCATCACGATCAACAAGTTTGCACATTTGATTATCAAATTAGAGCTCTATCTTTATACACATGCGTATTTACCGAACAAGATTGAGTTCTAGATCAGTCTTGTTAAAAAACTAGCTAAACTAAGTTCTAACTCAAAACTAGTTCACATAAAAACTAGTATAATCTAATCTAGGCTAAGTGTAACCGGATCAAAACTAAACTAGACGCATTTCTATGTTGCCAAGCTGACCCTTGGTGCGTACAGTTTATTAGCTATTAGTTCAGTTTACAAATTTTGGGAATCAATGTGGGACTCACGTTGGTTTCGCGGCATAAATACATAAATAAACATAGTGCATGTTTGGCAACTTACTTATTTCTACTTAACTTTTTATTTGTAAGTTGACAACATTGTGTTTGGCAAGAGTCACATATGTGTTACTTATTTGTTACTTACTAGTTTTTATACACATGCAATGCACGTGGTTAAATACCATAACTAAGCATTTTTGACTTATTTCCTAACTAAAATTTGTTCTGTTTCATTTTAGTAGTTTTTGCTCATTTCTATTTCTAAACTTTAACATTGCGATTATTTATTTTCTTTGATGTTTGTTTGAATGTGCTACACTCAATATAATTTTTTATGTTGATAATTGAATTGACAAGAAACAAATATAATTTGAAGCCAATTTAAAATTTTATATTATTTGGACCAACGTGAAACCAAGCTTTACTTGAGAAAGTATAGTATTACAAAATGAAAAATATTGAAATAGTGTTATACAAGGAAATTGAATATTTAAAAACAATAAGGCAAGATGATTGATTAAAAGTATGCTAAAATAATACAAAAGTGAATATGAAGTTTGTTCCTAATCATTGATAGACTTCATAAAAAGTTATAAACTAAAGATAAATGCCAACTCCAGTATATTATGATAAAAGCATCCATATAAGCATATAAAAGTACTTAAAAATTTTATGAAAATCACTTCTAAAGATTTCTAATTTTATCAAAACAATTTAATTATTCTAAATATTCGTTATTTTTTATTCCTTCCATTTTACTTTTTAATTGAGCTGAAACCAATTTCTTCTTCACCTTTATCTTTTTCGTGGATAACTCTAGAGTAGTGTTTTTATCATATATATTGATCGTGACATCAAACTGGAGTTGGATTTTTTGTGTTGGTATCTTTCATGTGCTTGTTAATCTTTTATCTTTTCGTTAACTTCATAAAGAAGTTGAATGTATTTTCGATATTCAATACAAACTTCTTGAAATATAGGCTTTGATTTTTCTCTACAATGTTAATTTCATGAATATAAAATTCTTTGTGTTCCTAATTTATTACTTAAATACTATTAGGAGTTTTCTTTTTTTCCATTCTACAATGAATTCTTTTGATGTGCATCCAATAAGAGTTTTTGTTATGTCAATAACGTTATATTTGTTCTATCCCTATTATTTCCCACAAGGGTCTGAACTGAATACCTGCATTTTCATTGCCAATTTGCCTTAGATTTATAACATTAATATTTAATTTATTTAGTATTTAAAGAACATAATATGAAATTTATGAATACTTACTAATTTTTCTTGTACCTTTCATGAAGAATTCTTCTTTGATTGGGATAAAGTTGTTAAATTATTCTTTCATGGAACACAGTCAGTGCTTCTTTGATAGATATGCATTATGTTAATATCAATTCAAGTGATTCATGGACGTTTCTGAATTTTAGATTTATTTTCTTCACTTTCCTATTTGAAATGGAAATAGCGTGATTCTTTTGAAGAATATCTCTGAACATTCTGATAAATTCCCCATACATAATTCCTTGTATTGTTTTACCCTATAAATATTATTAACATTAGAGATTACTATTTCTAAATTATAATCAATTAATACTAAGCTATTATATTATAGTCTTTTATCAATTTTATGGATTTAATCTTCTATTAATTAATGTTACTTATGTATTTTTGCTACTCCAACTTCTTAATAAAATTATATGCAGTTAATTTGATTTATATAGTGACGATAATTGTTAAGGTATCACATATTTTTTAATTTTTTTCTTAACCGGATGTTTTTAATCAATTCTTATTACTTTTTTTTACCATCATCAACTTTGATTATTTGTTTGGTAGTTGTTACTTCTATGTTTCATGTGTTGGTGGTAACTTTGAAATATCAAGATATTTCTTGCAACTATAAAATTTTGAGGATGCTTTCTGCACTTATTAAAACTTTGAGTTATTTTTTTAAAAATTCAAATTTCAACGGTCTACCAATAGTTTTCAGATTTGATGTGTGTTGGTTATAAATTTTAAAAATTTAGAGTTTTTTGCTACTTTCAACTTTTGAATGAGTTTTTTTAGCATTTTTTGTAACTTTGAGGTTAATTTTGGCAAAATTTAAAATTTTAGGTGCTTGATAGTAATCCCTTGAATTCATCTATCTTGTTTGCTAGTTTTAAAATTTTAAAATTTAGGGTACCTTTTTATAATATAAACTTTTGAGAGTGTTTCTATAATTTTTGAGACATGTGTTAATTGTAAATGTTAAATTCTTTAGAGGCTACTGTTAATTTCTTGATTTCATATTTGTTATTTTAAGTTTTAACATGTCATAAATTTTTAGGTGCATCATGATAATCTATTGAATTCATCTATATTATTTGCAAGTTTTGAAATTTTAGAATTTTAGGGTGCTTGTTTGTAATATGAACTTTTGAGGGCGATTCTATAATTTTTGAGATATTGAGGATGTTAGCTGGAAATTTTAAATTCTTCACAGGCTG